GGCTCCGCGGCGCGGCCCCGACGATGCCCCGCGACGGCAAGCGGGAGGCGGCGGGGGAGCGGCTGGGGCTGCTGGAGCTGCGCCGCTGCGGGCGGCCGCCGTCCCCCGGCCCCGGCGAGCGGCAGGAGGAGGGGGAGGAGGAGGAAGAAGAGGGGGAGGCGGCGGCGGGCGAAGATTGTTGCGGCAAGTGCAAGAAGCGGGTGCAGTTCGCCGACTCGCTGGGGCTGAGCCTCGCCAGCGTCAAGCACTTCAGCGACGCCGAGGAGCCGCAGGTGCCGCCCGCCGCGCTGTCGCACCTGCAGAGCCCGCCCGGCGAGGAGCGGGACCCGCCGCCGCCCGGCGCCGAGCCGCCCCCGCGCTGCTCCTGGTGCCCGACTTCCCCGACGGCGGGGAGCCCAGCGCCGAGCGGCTGCGGCGGCAGCGCGTCTGCCTGGAGCGCCTGGGGCGGCCCGCGGCGCCCACCGACGTGCGGGGCACGGTGCAGGTGCTGGGCGGCCCCGGGCCCAGGGAGGTGACGGTGCGCTACACCTTCAACGAGTGGCTCTCCTTCGTGGACGTGCCGGCCGCGCCCCTGCCCCCCGAGCCGCCGGCCGAGCGCTACGGCTTCACCCTGTGCGTGCCGCCGAGCCTGCGGGAGGGCTCGGCCCTGCACTTCGCCATCCGCTACCGCAGCCCGCAGGGCGAGTTCTGGGACAACAACGGCGGCCGCAACTACACGCTGCGCTGCTGCGGCTGCCCCGGGGCCGGCCCCGCCGTCCCGCCGGGCCCCGCCGCACCCCGCTACTGAGCGGCCGGGCCAGGGGAGCCCGGGGGACACGGCCGGGCGGGGACAGGGGCAGGCGGCCGCACCCCGCGCCCGGAGACAGGCCCCGCTCGGCAGGGAGACGGCCAGAGCGCCGGGGGCCCCGTCCCGGAGACTGCCCCAAGCCTGGTGGTTTTTAAGCAGGAGCTTCAGTTTCTGCCAGCGAAACGTGGATGTGCGTAGGCTCGCATTGCTGTGGTTTGTGGATTTGTTCTCCTTTTTGGTTTTTTATCTTTTTTTTTATTATTATTATTTTTTTGAGAGAGAGGGCAAGGAGACTGAGTAGCGTGGGCTTTGCTTTTCCCCCTTGAAGTGAATTTTTGAGGTCTTGATTTGGGCTTGACTCCACATACCCGATTAGTCGAGAGCACTCGTGTGAAAACTTGGTGGCGTGTTCGCTACAGATTTAATTTAGGATCCCAATTTTCCCGTTCTCAGATCTATTTGAAAGACACAGTACTGCGACAGCAATGGTGTGCTTTGTCCTTTTTTAGTTATTTTGTTTGACTTCAATGGACTCCGTAACAATACGATACAGTTGTGAGCACCTGTCAAACCCGTGACAGGCTTGCGTGCCCGTCCCACCTTTGCCATGCTGCGGCAGCTCTGAACAGCAGGCACTCTGCTTTGGGGCTGGATCTGGGGCTGGACTGGGCTGCCCTGGTTTTTGTCACTCAACACACTTTGATACCGCTCCCCAGGCTCGCATGTAGATCCCGTCTGGCTAATAGCAGCCAACAGGGACTCGTGCAGAAATGTTTTTGCTTAAAATAGACTGGTGACTTCTTTTCACACAACCAACGAGTCTAAAACCGGGATGAAGGAGGAGTTAAAATACCTGCTGATGCTGTGTTTATCAGGAGAACTTTGGTAACACCTTTGAGCCATGCACTGTGAAAGATGGTGTCTGTCTCGTACACGGTTCTGTATTTTCAGATTTGGGTCTGGTTTGGATGACCCTTCTCACTGAGGAGTGACGCTGCCATACAGAGAGAGTGTCCTCAGTAACAAATGGAAACAAGTGCCTTAGTTCAGCTCTCCTTATGTTACATTTTGCACCACATTTCTCAAGTATTTATAATTTATTCAGCTTTTTTGCTACATATTTTTCTGTATTTGTATGTTGCTGGGAAAGGACTTTGTTGTGCACACAGCTGGACTTTATGGCGCTGGACACTTGAATTGATTTTAGTCTTCACTCTTGCACTGCAAGCCTAGAGGTTGACTACTACGGGGTGTCCCAACTCCTGAAATTAAGCAAAAACTACCAATGCAAATGGGTTTGTAAGAATAAAAAAAAAGTTTTAAAAAAAGCCATAAAGCTCATAATTACATTTACTTCCTTACTTTTTTTTTTAAAATTTTTTTTTTTTCTATTTAGCAAAATGTAACAGTAGGCTTCACAGTTTTGCAACCTGTGGTATGTGTGCCCTGACCAGGGATGATCCGATTTGTGTGTAAGTGATGTTTAGGGCTGTAGCTGAAAATGACTGCTGTCCTGCCAGAGCCATCAGGCAAATCACCCTGTGATTTGTCTGTGAACGGCATCTTGAGCAGAGCTGTGCTGTGAGGAGGCTTTACTAGCAAGGGTGGAAAGTAGGTGGGTTACAGTCAAGTTTTGTTTGGGCTCTTCTGCAACTTTGATTCTTCTTGTTTTCTTTTGACACAGTATCTCAAAATATGGGTTATTTTTGGTTAATGAAGAACAATTGTCAGAATGCAGAATATGCCCTGAAATGGATGTGTGGTCTTCAGTATGCCATGGAATGGCATGTTCCTTTTTTGAAACAGAACATAGTGCGAGATTTCTCAGGCCTCCATTTCCTCTGAAGATGTAAAACATCTTAAAGGCTATCCTGACAACATTAGAAAAAATAGCTTATTGATAAGATTCCCGATAGCTGAGAATATTTTCAAGCCTACATCAAACCTGCCTTTTGAGATGGCTGGAGCAGACCCAGAGCTAAAATCTCTGTGGGGGAAAGATGGGAAGCAGAGGGAGGTTCAGACTAAAGGTGCTGCAGTTCTGCTCACATGCACACTGCTGCTGAAACACAGCCTGTCCTCCCTCCTCCCAAAAAAGCCTGTGCGTACAGCACAGTGTGAGAACACAGCCAGGGACAAGGAGGTGTTTAATTCCCTCGGAAACCATTCTGCTGTTACACTGTATCAGTTGCTTTGACAACGCTCAGAGGGAGAGCTCTGAGCAGGCAAACAGAAGTTGGTACTGTTGTCCTTCAGGTTACACGTGAACTCTCGCCAAAAAGGTTTTAAGGGAGAATAGTGAACTCTGCTGTTTCCCTACACAAGTTTGTTTTAAGTCTGTCATGCATTTACAGGATTACAGGATGTTACATGGAATAACCTGGTATGAATTAGCCTTTCTTCAGATTGCTGCATAAATGAAATAGTGTGCTCTTACAGTGTGCTCTTAAGCTGAAATAGTAGTGTCAATATTGATCCTTCATTTAAGTACAATATAATATTCGGGATTTCTGGAGCCCATTCCTTATTCTGTGCTTTGTTTATTAGTTGCCTCAGAGAAGAAGGAAACATTGCCAGAAAAAGGAGTGGGGAGCTCTCTCCTTTAACGGAATTTAAAGGAGCAGCCATATTCTGATGGCTGTGTCTGGGCAGAGGTGATACCATGAAGAACCCTGGCTAGCTGTGCCCAGAACCTGGAAATGTTCTCAGGTCCACTGTCAACATTGATATCCAGAACATGTGACATTTCTGTGTGCTATTCAGATGTGTGACCTGAAATTCAAAATGCAGGAAAGTACTCACTCAGGCTAGATACTAAAATCTTCTGAGTGCTTCAGAAATTTGGTGCCAATTGAAAATCTTGCCAATTGTGATAATTAAAGCACAACATTTTTGTGCTTTGATACCTGAAGTGCTTTTATTTGTTATTAAGAATTTCTTTTTGTGAAAGGAAGGGGAAAACCTCTAAATGAGAGTCAGACATACTCACTTTTTGACAGACAGTACATTTCTGTGCTCTTAGGACTTTACAGAAGCATAGATTTGCAAAGCAGGGTTCAAAGACAGCCTACTCACAGGTGTCTGTATTTTCATAGCTGAGGTTCCTGAGGGCTATGGAAATGCAAGGCTTTATCAGAGATTACACTGGGCAGCAGTTGTAAAAATCCAACTGGACCATGTGTGTACCAAAGGCTTGCAAGCCCACATCAGCAAAACCCAGGGCTCCTGTTCCTGGCCATAGGTTGAGACACATGGCATAATTGCAACATTACTCTCAAAGGAATATAATCAAAATGAAGTTGTTTTAATTCCATTAAAATCTCAAGACCAGTAGAGTGAAATGTTAAGTGAAGCACTCTTCTGTTTGGTTGCATTACTGTTAATGTATTTCATTCAAAGCATAACTTTTGGAAGATGTCCTCATAAACATGTTCCCTCCCCTAACCTAAATAAGAAATTTAAGGTTTATTGCACTTATGGAAAAACTCCAGCTCCAAAGATTTTTCTTCTATGCAGATTTCTGTTCCCCCACTGTGGATTAAGGATTTAGGGTAGGAATAGCTGCCAAATGGCTTTATAGGTGTATATAAATGAAGAAAGTTTAATATAGCTGAAACTCTGTAGGGGTAACTGTGAAGGACATAAAAGGTAAATCTTCCTTAAGCAATTTTTTGCCATGTACACTTACTTTTAAATTCGGATTTAAATGATTCAGGAAAGGGCTGTGAAGCTAAATTTACTTTGGTGTCATGAAGATATGTAAGCATGCATGAAAACTACTTCTGTTTTATTTAAAATTGGAGCTTTCAGTCAGTACTTGGAAAGTCTGGCTTCTGCTCCCATTGGCTTCGCTGAGATTTGGATCCAGCCCAAAGTACTGCAGGAAGGTAAGGGAAATGATCTAGGTTTAATTGTCCATTCTGTTCAGAGTCTTGTGTTGTGGGGTTAGGATAACATGGCACTGTGATGAATGTTCATCTGTCAAGAGTTCAAAATCTGCTGTCTGTGCATGGCAGTAATTAAATCACCTTAATTGTTTTTTCATGATTCTTTCTGAGAGAGGGAAAATTACTTGCCTTGGATTAGCATATTGCCAAAGACTGTTATAAATATTTATGGGGTGTACTCTTTCAATAGACAGCCTGTACATTCTTCACAGGTCTCCATAGTTCTTTTTCCCGAACACAGAAGAGTAGTTACTTGAACGCACTAATTACCATCATCTCCCCCTCTTGCAAAGCTTCAGTAGATACTGGTTTAACAGCAAAAAAGGTAAGTAGTTTAGAAAGAAGCATCTCTTGCAAAACATATTTAATTACCTCTGTAAGCTGTGGAATCTTTTTGAAGGTGCATATGTTTAAGAAATGGGTTTGTGAGTTCCAAATTTTTTCCTTTTACTGTTGTGGAAAATACATGGTTTTGGAAGAATTACTGGCTTTGGCTTCTCTGTTGGTTTTTTTTTTAAATTTTTTATTTTCATTTTTTATTTATTTTTTTTTCTTTCACATTAAGGCCTCATGCACTATTCTTATATTTTGAAATAGTGAAAAAAGTAGGAATGTAAGCACTCGCTTAAGGAGCTGCACAGCTTAGTTCTTTTTTTATAAAGGTCATCAGGCAAAATATTCCCAAGAGTATGAAATGACTATGCCTGTGTTAAGAATGGTGGAATAAAGCGAACAGTATAGTCCTGACTTGAATAATGGCAGGATTTCACTGCAGATCATGGTAGAAAACTCAGGAAAACAGTCAGAGCACAGCTCTTTCATGGCTCTGTTTACACGTACATATGGTCTATGCTGGGGATCGGGAGAGGTGCATTTATGTTGTATTATAGGAAGTAAAGTTGAGGGGCTGGTGCTTCTCCATAAAGTTATTCTGTCTGCTGGTGTTAGAGGGTAAAAGTTTTGCTTTTAATGCCTGGAAATGTGGAAGTTGTTTTTTTTTTAAATAGAAATTGAGAAAAGTGAGTAGTAAGTCAAAATCCTTTGCCTGTTTCAACACTGTATGTAAAGCACATGCTTCTCACTGGGGTTGCTCTCCTCCTGAAAATCTGTACCTATGCCCTATCTGGGCACTTTGAAGCCATGCTTTCAATTGCAGAAAAATTTATTGAGAGGTTGTAACACACAACAGAAATGCCTGTCCTTTGAACAGTTACTAATACCAATCAAATTGTTCCTTTTTTCCTTTCAGAGTGCTGTTTCCAAGCTTATCCTGTAAAAATAAGGACAAACCACAGTATAGGCAAACACTAAAATTTTGGTTCATACTGCTGAGGTCAATAGTTTGCTAAAGTGTCGAGATCGGGAAAAAAAAACCTTTTAATACAAAAGCAAAATTGTTTCGCTAAGACATTGCAGCTTCAGTAAAGATATTTATTGAGCTCTGTTCTAAGGAAAAAATATATACTTTTTATAATAGTGGACATTGTATGTAAGTCATGGGATCATTCCTTTGTGTTTTAACTATTCCTGTTGTTTACACTGCTTTGACAAAATCCAACAAAGCTTCTGACAGCGTGCCAAGAGAGATTTAATGAGTATTGCAACGTAAACGGAACTGGTGAAGCACAGAAGGTGCAGCTGTAAGAGCACAGCAGCTCCGAGGCTGGAGCACAGTGCCAGCTCTCCAGGCTGCTCTCCCCACTGGCAGCGATGAGCACAGCCCTGGCCAAGAGCAAGAACAGGGCAAGTGGCCACCAACACAACACTTGAGTCATCCCAGCCTACAACCGGGCTCGACTTCCCAAGCCAGGTGTGGTTAGCAAGTATTTTCCTTCCATAGCTTGTAGGATTTCAATGCTAAAGCACTTGTCAAGCTATGGTTTTGTACAGAACTGGGCATGTTTTGGCAATATACCTTAAAATGGACATCAGGTAAGGGAAAAATGTATTTGGAGGTATCTTTCAGTCAGTACAACTGATATGCACATAATTAACACTAACTGACCATGCACTTACATGTATGTTACAAGCAAAGGAAACATACAGGCCTGTCCAAAACAGGGAATAAGCATCTAAAATGAATTAGGACAAAATGCTGTTGGGTTTGAGGAGTGATAATGCCTTTGCTAGCTTTGCACTGCTGTTAACAAGCTAGTCAGTGTTACGCAGACTTTTGGACTGTAGCAGCAGAGGAGTTCTTACCTTGCTTCTAATAAGTAATGTATAAATACTGTATGATAAGCTGATCAGTAATTTCAAGTAAGAACTAATTTGTCCTTGATGAAAAGGTCAGCTGTTTTACCCTCTGCAGTATGGACTGGGAACAGAGGGAAATTACAGAGCACCACTACTTTTTTCCCCCCTCTGCCTGGATGATTCTCTCTGCAGAATTGACCTCTGATGGTTACTACTGCTCCTCTGAAGGTAGAAGCAAGTAAGGGAGAAAGAAGGTTGGAGCATATGGCATGAGCTGGGACTGCAGTCATGTTTTATCTACCACAAAAACTTAACAACAGAGTTTTTAGGCATTAATGGAAAAGTAATCTTCATACTTTAGAAGGAATTAATAAAACATTTCCCATTGCCATGACTGCCTGCCTGTATGACAGAACATACCATCTACAGCTATATTCTTGTTGGAAACAATGCTGAAGAACTTCACTGGAAAGGTATTTCTGAAGAAATGATTATGCATTGAAAGAGTTCCCTTATTTTTTTTGTAAATATGGTGAAAACAGACTTAAATAGTAAAAAAAAAAAAAATTAGTTACCAATGCAGTTGTCCCTCTTTATAAATCAGGGCTATGCTATTTATAAATATATTTATTTTGCTTTCTAGCATACACTCTCAGATCTTGAAATGGTATGCAGTGCTTGTTCCAGTAATTAAGCTGTTTTAGACAAGGATTTTACGTGTACTGTTTTAGCAACCAAGTTTCTAACAGTAAAAAACTGGCAGCCCTTCCAGGCCTGTGTCAGCCAAGAGTGTAAGATGCTGCATTTCTGTGAGCTCACTGGAACCTTAAAGAGCAATCAAACCCTTCTTCTCCTGCACTTTCACCATTAACTTAAGTGCACTTAATTATCCAGTTGTGAATGTGGAGATTTCAAATACAAAATCTAATGTATATTACCTATTAGAATAATTCAATTCCATTTTAATACAATCTTCACTAAAAGCAATTTACATTGCAATAGTTATACACCTAATATGGGGAGAATTACTATTGTAGTTGCTTTTTATCTGAAATTGAAAGGGGGCTACATTGGCAGTCTCAGGTACACACTATTTTATTCTGTACCCTGTACTGTCTATATGAAATCCATTACTATACATCTCCATCTAACTGTACAATATGGTAAAATACACTTTAAGGGGCAGTGAGGAATGGGAGCTTGTTCTAAATTAGAAACTTTAATTAGACACTCTGCTTTAATAATGTTTTCACAGAGCATGAACAATACAGAAGAACATAAACAAAGATGAATTTTGTGAAGCAAGAAAAATAAGGGGTGGATTTCAAAGGCTACAATGCCACGGAAGTAGTTTTGAGTTTCTGTTTCTCTACTTAAAAAACCCCACAACAATTCACTGAAATAAAAGGAAACTATTTTTTCTTCCTGTATGCCAGCTTTGCACTGCTTAATTTTTCTGCAGATTTCTAATAGAAGACAAATTCAAGCACAGAAATGACTTGAGCAAAACCTGATCAAAATTGTTGCTTGCTTTTTTATTAATCTGTGGTCCTAAAAGTGTTGAGCATTCTATGGATTTAAGAATAATCAATAAAATGCTATGCTGAGCACTTTTTCTAGGCAAAGCTTGTTGCCACTTCATGACTTACAGTACTTGATTACTGTTCCAGTTCGGATCTTTTTCTTCATGATGTTCATGAAAAAAAGGAAATCTTTGATAAAGTGATGTGGAGCTTTCTGCTAATAGCTGCACCTCAATAAATTAAAGGACTTGGTGGTAAAAAAACATTTGAAAGCTCCCAAGCCTCAGTAATTCAAGTCTTGCATTCTGCTATTCTGATCAGTTAATTGTTAAAAGTAAGACAAGACTGGTTATTAACTCTTGGAAACTAAAGAAAGAACTAGTGATTTTTTTATGTCACCTCCTAAAATGTCAAGGGATGCTCTTCAAGGAAACCACACAATGCAGCCTGTGATATTTTTAAGTATCAAAGTCCAGGAGACAAAAATTCTGACTATCTCTGGTTTTAATACTTCAAATAAAATATATACTTACTCTTTTAGTTCAGAAGCTGGATATTTTAAAGTGAAACTGGATTAATAAAAACTTAGTAAGTGCGTGAAGAGTTTTAAATTTTGAGGGGTTTTAAATCTAACATGTTTTTCGTGGTCAGTGAGAGACAAGGTCAGCAGCAAAATAATGTAGCTGGTTGCAGGTAGTTTATTGAAGTTTTATTGTTGAAATAGGGTAGGAGCTATTCCCTCACATAGGACACACAAGCAAACAAATTCTAAGACTACCTTACATACTATTATAAATCACAGCCATTTATCTTAGAACATGTGACCCTTTAGAAAATAGAACTTTGGTTGCCAAAAACAGTCTCTCAGGCATTTCTTATGCTGAACAGACAAACTCAGAAATGTGCATGTGCAGTTTCTGTACGTGGCACTGTAGGATGCTGAAGATGGTCCAGTGTTGTTTCAGGATCAGAGGCTTTTATTGGCTATGTGTTTCCCGGACTCTCAATGACCAATTTTTCTGTGGCATACAGCTGGTCAATGGTAACCTGAAATCAAACCAAAATACCAGTAAACAGGTTATAATTTAGACTGCACAAAAAGAAAAAAAACCAACAAAAAAAACCAAAACCAAGAAGTGAATAGCCCAAATATTAAGCTTTTTAATCAGTAAACAGGTTATAATTTACACTGCACAAAAAAAACCAAAAACAAACCAACAAAAAAAAACCAAACCAAGAAGTGAATAGCCCAAATATTAAGCTTTTTAATAATTACAGTTTTCTTTCTATAAACATTTATTTTTGTAAATAATACACTTGTCTAGACCTTGAGAGAAATAACCAATACATAAAATACCTGCACATATAAAATATTGAAATAATGACATTGAGGAGTACCATTCAAAGTCTCAAAAAATAACATTAGAAGTTACAACAGAGAAAAAGCAAGCACGTTCTATGTTGAGAAAAATGAAAAGACAAATATAATGAAAAACAAAAATATGGATACAATCAGCAGGTATTTCTTATGCTCTTTAGGTGGAGACCCTAGATATAAATTGCATGGCATGGTATTATTTACCAGTTCCTTTGGAATCCTAAGTAATTTGCCTTATGAATGGTGAAAACAGTTCAACAGTTGTTATTTCAGCAGTAGCATTTTGCACACACTGGAGCTACCTCTTGTTCACAAGCTGGTATTCTGACCTTCTATATTTGTGCTTTCTAGTGCAGTGAGGAAATGAAATATGACAAAAATGCAACATTGATGCTTTGACTCCTCTTGTTCTTTAGCACTTTCTAGTCTGCCTCATAACATTGGTAAATTGTGGTTGGATGAGCAGCTGGCAGTTGTCACACACAGCTCTTGGCTTAGCAGCTGAGATGGGGAAGGAAGAAGTTTCATGCAAGTAGGGTAATGAAAGCAGAAGACAATGTTTACTTTTAGAAGTATGGATTTTGGAGTCCTACTTTTTAATATCTGTTATGCCTTTTCTTGCCTGTACCTTCTCCTTAAACCTGGGTACACAGCAGCTCTGTGTCCTTTTCACAAAAACAAAAAGGTTCGTACATTTAAGTGTTGAATTAGGACAAAAAAGGCTAGATACTGAATTACACTAAGCATGGTAGATTTAATAGAATTTAATACTGTGCAAATTAAGCCTAACAGCAAGTCAGGCTCTCAAAGTAGTAAAAAATCAGGGAAAGAATGTTTTTGGCATTTTCCATTTCCCATTTTTTGTGGGGAAAAATTCCTGGCTTCTCTTGAATAAAAATTTCTCATCTGTGCTCACACTCACATAAAATGTGACTAATATTGCTTTTTAGGAAATGAACTATTTAATCTTGATAAACAGCCTTGTCTGAAACTTGTAACGCATTGATTTTAATCTTGAAATATTTATTACAAGGGAGCATTTATGAAGCTGTTCGTAAAGGAACAGAAGTTTTCCTTGCCAACAAATATTTCCTTCTTTTGGCACTCCAAGCTAAGGCAGTAACAGCATATGAACAACTCTGATTATTTTTGAAGTTACTTATGAAATATGTTGCATGCAGAACATTTAATACAAAGGCCATACACAACTGTGGCATGTGTTACCCACAGAAATTTTAAGCTGTCAACAAGTGTTACTTGTCAAAGAGAACTCGCTGCTCTGGGTTATGTGGCAGGCTATACACTTTAGTTGCTGCCTTACCACAAACCATGCTGAAGTACTTAATTTTTGTATACTGTGTTTTGGAGCCCAAAGAATCTTTAATCCTTTCCCACACAGTAGAGCAAATTTAATGGGAGGCTCAGAGGGATTACAAAAATGCTGAAACCTGAATTGCATTTTTTTTTCTCCCCCAGCTGGGGAGATACATGAGACTGAGTACGTGACTTCTCAGTCAATCATATTCAGCTGGTGCAGATGGCTTTGTAGGAGAAAGGTACACGCTGTTGTTTGCTGTCCCTGTGCCAACAGGTGATGTTATCTACTGCTGCACCTCTTGACTCGAATGCAATAAAAGCACAGATTTATGTGTGAGCTGCTTCCTTAGCAAACCACAGCATGCAGGCATTTCAGCAAGTGCAGAGCCACTCGTGCTGTGCTGTTGGCCCTTGCTGGGCTGCTGCAGCTTGCCTGCTCTGCTGCCTCCCTTCCAGAACCTCTGCCATGGCACTGTAAGCTGAACTTTGAAACCTAAGGATTTTTTTAAAGCCATTAGCATTGAATTTTTAAAGTTATGATCAAGCCTTTCCCATGTGCCTTAGACAAAACAAACAGACCTTCCATTTATAGCTGCTGAAAAATTCCCATCCATGAACATCCCCTGCCTCAGCAGAAGGATTGCACCAGTATTTACACACTGACACTCATTAACCCTAGGAACCACAACAGCCTTCTTACAGTGTCCTCACCACCCTGAGCCTAAAGAAAGCACTTCAGCAGCATGCACTCACTGTGGAGCACTGTCCCACATTAGAGACTTAAGTGGCTACCTATTGTGCTCTTTTTTCATCGTGCATGTTTGTAGCTTGTACACCACATTTACTCTTCTGGTAGGTGGGTGGAAGCCAGTGCACAGGTCAGTGCCAGGGGAGTTTCACTGACCACAGGAAACTTGGGGAAAAAGGCCCTGTAATTTGCTCAGCAACTTGATTATCCAAAAGTTTATTTACCTATTTAGGTAACACACTGCAATTAAATTCCCCAGGAAAGAATGTGCAATAAAGAACCACACTGCCATCAGAAGACAATAAACAGAAATATAGAAGTTGCTTCTCAGCTCCTTTAGAATTATTGATGTTTAAATTCTGCCTGAAAAATGATGTACTTTGGTTCTGACAGGTCCAGTCCTCAAAACCTGACAATTTGTCTTTGTTCAAAGATTTAGTACAAGTCTAACATGGTCAGCTGTTTTTTGTGAACAAGAAGACTTGAAAACCTTACTATTGCCTTCTGTCTGAATCCAGAAGGAGGCTTAGGGCTTTAGAATGGGATTTATCAGCAGACGTGACTCAACAAATGGGGAAAAAGAAATCACTGAAGAGTAAGCACTAGTCCCTCTTGCAACCCAACCATTCTCTGTTATTAGGTCTTTGTATGTTCATATGGAAACAAGTACTAGTCCTTTGTCATAGTTGGCAGGAAGCAACCACAGGAATTAGCTACTTCATGGAATCTTTCATTGCTATTGAGGGGAAAAAAGCATGTAGGAAAGGTTTTCTCTATATAACAGAGCATCAAAAACATGTATGGGGAGGTGCAGTAAGAATGAAATCATAGAATTAAGAAGAATTATAGAAGTAAAATCTGAATGTCCTGCAGACACTGAAAGAACATGATATTACCCTAAAAATTTAACAAATCCAGCCAAATTGACTGAACTCTGAACTCTGTCCTCTCCAAAGGTGTCTGTCTGGCTGCCAGTCTGACTCTCAGGGACACCTGTGGCTGGTGAGCAGGTTATGTGTGGCTTACATGCCAAGCCATGTGACAGATGCAATTGCAGTGGGACAGTGCTGGCCTGGAAGGCAGCCTGAATCCTAGAGGCTAATCTGAATCCTAGGGTCAAACCTGAATCCTAGGGGCTGCCTTCCCATCTTGACATAGCTGGTGCAGTAGATCCTGCTGACCCGCTGCTACTACTTGCAAAATACTACTGGATTATCATCTCCAGTTTCTGAAGGTGTGTGGCATGTCTTGTGTACTTTAGCCACATAAAGATTTTACTTTGCAGCTCAGAGTTGAGGCAGAAGTGACTGTTCATATTTCTGTAGGGCTGAGATAAGGTTTTAAAGGGTTTAAAAATTTTTTTTTAAATTTGCCTCACTCATAATGCATAGTTCTGCTCTGAAAAGTATGATGGCATCTTCCTTGACAGCTCTGGATAAATGTCTGTCCACTTAATTAATCACCACATTTTTCCTTCCATAGGCTCCGCAGCACAAAGGTGCCAGACATATCTTTTTTCCCCACATACTTTACAGAATTGTAATTGTGTGGCATATAACCCATGAGCTCTAAGAAATCCTGCTGAGCCCAGATGAAGATACTTTTTCTCACTGTCACTGAATTACTCATCCTTATCATCCTGCCAAACTTGCCAATCTCCAAACAACTAGCTACCTGCTTGTGTGAGATCTCACAGATAAATTTCAGAGTGAGTGCCCTAAAATTACTCAGGTAAGTAGCTAGGCAGCAGCCTTTCTGCCCTCAAAAGCAAACAAACTAATTTTTTTTCTTTTTTCATGCCAGTGTTTATTTTTTGATGGCAGACAAAAGCAGGAGAGGCCTAACAGGAGAGGGTGCAACACTCTTACCTTATGTAGAATCAACCTACTGGACAATGCAAGGTCTAAACACATAAAAGTGCCACCACAGGACAGTAATATAGAAACACTGCAAGACAGCAATTTCTGTAGGTGTCAGTTTTTTAAAAAATTGATCTCCCAAGAGGGTCATCACTGGAGAAGTAACAATGGTTTTCAGTTTTTTCTTGAAGAAATGCTGCTTATAACTAAAGCTGATGTACAACAAATAGCTTTACATATTAAACACATTTACATATCTAATATATATAGGCATGTTATATACACATGCATAAATATATGAAAAATACCCATATCTAGATAATTAAATATCCATCTTCTCTCTTTTGTTACAAATTTGCAGACAAGAAATTGTTACCTTATTACAGCCAGGGATCACATATAAACATATACATTTTCATGGTTCTTTATTATAGAGAAAAAGGAAAAGGTCCTGTGTATTAATATATTTATATACACACACAAATATATATAAAATCAGGGGGTTTTTTTCCTGTTGCACCTAGGAAGCTGACAGGTGTATCTCATGGGCACTCTGCTGAATCTTAACTAGGAAGAAAAATCCCTGATGACACCACAGTCTTATTGCATTTACGGCTGCTAATCTGGGCCTCTAACACTACATGAAGAAGTTCCACACCCATATTTTCTGGCACAGTGACTGTAAAATGCATCTAAAGTGAATGCTGACAAGAACAGAAATGTCTAAGAATAAAGGTTATTTTAA